GTATCACCGCCAGTCCCCAGGCCAAGTGCAATATCAAGCACGAGGACACGTTGATGGAGGCGGTCAACCTTAGGGTCCTGTGTCGGACCCGCAGGAGAAGCACTCGGACGAGCGTGGCGTTCAGGAGGCGCCGAGTACTCGTACACGTACGAGGGCACATCCACCCCTGCTTGACCGGAATGGAGAAGTCCACTTCCACGTGGAGCGTATCCTCCAGGAGCAACGGCGTCGCGGTAAGCGACAGATCCTCGTGAAGTGGAGGGGTTATGCCCACTCCGAGAACTCGTGGGAGCCGATCAAACGGCTCCTGATTGACTGACCGAAGGCTGTCGCAATCTGGGAGCAGAAGCGGCGGCAGCTTCATAAGTAGTCCGGGGCTTCTTGCCCGAACGGGGTACGGACGATGAATGCATTCCGTACCCGCGCCCATCGTGAGCGCTAGAAGTCGCGCGCTTCAGGATGTCCCTTGGCAGCATACGCTTGCTGACCAAGTGGGCAAACCTCACACGAAGATCGCGCTGGTCCAGAATGCGGGACAGCAGGTGATCTTCTTGGAGTTCCCGTAACTCCGTGGGTGAGTACTTAAGAGACTCCACCCATGCCCAGAACATGACCTCACAAGTACCCCACGTGGGACAGTACTCGGGGTATCCCCAAAGAGGATATAGACCACCCCGGGTCTCGGGCTTCTTACGACAAGTCGTGAAGTTCTTGAGAGGGATGCGGTGTGGCGCCAGAAGCACACACCGAGCAGCCTCCAAGTTGTCAACCAACAGCTGTTCTTTCTGAACAAGGGCACGTTCATAGATGCCCCTAGAAGTGTGGCCGCCCACAAGGCCACGAGGAGCGACGAGAAGCTCTAGGAAGAGGTCAGCCCCAGATCTCTCCTCGGGAGGCCAATACCCTCTTGAGTTGATGGCAGCTCCCTGGCTGACGGGTGCTACCACCGAACCCCCACGCACACGCTGGGCAGCTTGGAATTCCTCCTGCTGCTGGTCGAGGTCGTTCGAGACCTCCCGGGGCTCAACAATAGCACCCTCCTCTTCCTCTTCTTCCTCCTTCCCCTCCTCTTCATCCGAGGAGCCGAAGATACTCCGATAGGAGCGACGAGTCTCCTTCTCCTTGCGGAGTGGAGACGTAGAGGCTGTACGCTTCTTTGAGGGCTTGGCTCCTTCGGCCTTAGAGGCCTTAGCACGCGCAAGACCCTCGGCAAGCGAGAGGCGTTTGCGAGGATTCTCTTCCTCATCGCCACCGGCTTTGGGAGCGCCCTTAGCCTTGGCGGCCGGACTCTCAGAGCGCACAGAGGCCTGGGACTGTGATCACCTTGATCACTAGCGAGCGACTGCACGCTGTCATCTTTGTGCTCACTGGGCACTGGGCTGTGCCCTCCCACAGAGCCCGCAGGAGCACCATGAGTGCTCCCGGACTCGGCATCGTCCTCACTGCCCGAGTTGAACTCATGTTCTACGAACCGAGGGTTCGGACGATTGTCTGAAGATGAGGGCGACGGGCTGCGGCGCTTGCTTGCGCGCTTGTCCACAGCCGCGTCATACGAGGAACCGATCGCCTCGGAGGCCACCTGAGTAGCCTCCTTGAGTGCAGAGCCTTTGCCGTGAGGCTTAGTGCTCTTGGCTTGCGCCTTACCGGCAGCAGCCTTGGAGCGTGTCTTAGCACCGCTATTTACAGTGCCACGAGGCATGATAACGGTCGAAGTGGAGACCTAGGCGAAGAGCGCACAAGTTGCTGCTCGAGGCTCTAACTGTGAAGTGAGCCTCCGCCGCGCTCGCGCGGCCAAGTCGATGGTTTTCGACTTTGAGAATGAGAGTTTGTGACGAGCATCGCTTCATTCTGATTGGTTAGTAAGCCGAACCTAAGTGGGGGAGGATGTAACGGGGTACGTAGCCCTAAGTGTACCCTGGTTACATGAAGTGTGACACTTCACAGTTCAAGAGTATGACACGTCATACTCCGGGATATTTGGTACAAGGTACCAAGGTCGTTCAAAGCCAACCATTAATAAATTACATTGCATTTCTATAGGTAACTTATAGCTTGTATTAAATTCAAACTTAACCTACCTATAAATATACTCAGTTTACAATCTACCTTATTTAGGTCACTTTGCTCTCTTTAATTAAAGAGGGGACCTGTGAACTGCCGTTCACTGAGAGTTTGTATACTCTCGGAAGATAGCTTCCTCTAGCGCAAGGTGCTGTGTGACCCCGTCACACGGCTAAACCTTTCCACCAATGCCGTCGTTTATTACGAAAGTGCAAAAATGTCCCTCGTGACCTTTCTTGGAATAAACCGGTAATAGTCGTGCACATAGTTTAGTCGTGCACCAAAATTGATCATGAGCAATTTTAAGCATTTTGGGGATGCACGGTAAATAGTCGTGCCACGACTAATTAGCAGGGATCGGATAATAAAATGTTTTATTTCACGGAAGAACGATCACCTGCGTAATAGCGACTGCAATACGACCTGAAGCAATAATAATAACTTTGCAATTTAATGAATATATTGGGCATATGCGTCTCCATCGTCGAACCTACGTCCTCATTAACGCCTCTCAGTCGCTTGCAGTGGTGTCAACGAGAGTGCTTGCATTCCACATATCAAGGTTAGCACGGAGAAACGTTAGCACCTCAAAATTGGCATCTGCCAACCGCCCTCTCTGCGGAGTCAGAATAAGCTTCGTCTGCGAGAACAGACGCTCGCACGCATTACTCGTCGGTGGGATCTTCGTTAGTAGAGCGTTGTAGACCACAGACGAGCGGCCCGTCCTGCGCGCTGCTGAGCCTTCCAGCAGAACCGTCGTAGCGAAGTCTGGAGTGCAGTCTCTCTTGCGTTTATCGCCAACGCCAGTCGGTCGATCCGAAGCAAATTTCGAGACGGATTTGGCCTCAGCAGCTGCTAATAGAGAACCATTTGCCACCCTAATTACCGCATTCTCAAAAGTCGGTGAGTGCACTATTTTTGAAGAGGGATCCAGGTGGGAGCCCAAATCTGGGTACCGATCCAGAAGCGAATTAAACAGCAATCGGGTGTCGGCCATCGTAGTCTCGTCGTCCTGCAACTTCTTGCAGACGCTGTCGAACACGCGCAAATCTTCGTTCAGTGCCACGATTTTTCGGTGGGCGGATGCAGAAGGAAGAAACTCCTCAACCGCTTCAATCTTCCTAATATAGCCCCGGATTTTGATGTAGCGGGAGACCATCTCGCGTGTTGACGACCAGCGCGTCGCGTTCCTCTTAACTGGGCGAAGCTCAATAAATTTCGCCAACTCGGCGCTATTGTTTGGGTGCCGCAGCTGTACCATGAGCGTACTCACCTGATCCAGCTCCACCTCGTACCGGCTCAAAAATAGTTGGACAGCCAAGTTGAGCCGGTGGCTGGCACACCCGACCAAGGGTACCTCCAGTTTGGTCGCAATTGAGCGATTCTTCGAACAATTGTCACCAACCACGAGCAAAACCATGGCAAGTGTCTTGTTGTAGAGGTCCAGGACCCGCTGGAAGTGATCAATATGTACGTCCGCTGTCTGTGACCCCTCAACGACTGGCGAAATCGATAGCAATCGACGACGGAATGTGCCACCGTGCATGTAGACGCAGAACAATGCGACAAAATGCGTAGAGCCATGCGTCCACCCGTCGAAAATGATGCCAAATGCATCGCCCATCTCCTCCTCGAGTATCAAGCCCACTTTGGCGGCAGCAAGATGCATCTTTACCTTCAGTGTCTTCGAGCTTGTAGATCGCAGGCGCGACATCTCACGCGTGAGCGGGTCATCCACCTCGCAGAGAGGCAAGTTACGCACCACAACCCAGCGTAGCCATCTGTACAAATGGTCCACAGCCTCTGAGACGAAGCCAAAGGACTCCATCGTTCCGTTCTTCGCACGGTGAGATGTAGCCATCTCAGTCAAGTAGTCGGAGTGTTTGGTGCCCAAGTGAGAGAGCAGGTTGGAGTAGCCGGTAGCGGGGGCCTGCTTGCGAGCTCCGTTACAGATCTTGAACGTGTAGCGATAGTCGGCTCCCGCTTCGAAGAAGAAGGCCCAGATGTCAGCGCTTGTGGGCATAGTGATGCTGCAAAAGGGAAAGTTGTTGGTCTTGAGCTGTGGAAATGCTAGTAAATAGCGAAGTGAGATTGAAAAGGGCTTGAAAACAAAGTCGCAGTCGGAAAGAGCGAGAATACAAAATGGTTGGTCCACGTAGACACCAGTTATTTGACTTTGTTTCTCTATACTCTTCTTATTTAGTCTTTTAAGGTATTGTATTGGGCATTATTGCCCAATTTTTGTATTTATTTTCAGCAGTTTGTTCCAATAATAAATATTGTCCCCACTATTGTACGTATTATTGCCCAAAAAAATATTTTTTGCCGATCCCTGCTAATTAGGGTGAACGGTGTAACGGCATAAATTCCCATAAATTCCCAGGTTTATCTAAAGATGGTGCCAACTGATGCGGCACATGCGATTTTTTGTTTAGTTAATATTGCAGGCGTGGCGTAATGCAAGTTTTTTTTGTTCGTCTTTTAATTATTAAGAGTGCATGAACAATAAAACGGTAGCGCTTTTCGAAGAGAGAATTCCTCTGCGAGATGCAGTTGGAGGACAGTTAAACTTGGACGACGAATATTGTGACATGACCAAATTAAACCGATATCTCTCAAAGAGATTGTCGCTTCGAATCAAGGTTCTATTAGCCCTGTACTGAATTACAGCGATGTTGGCAAAAGCCCGTTATCGTAAATGTGTGTAAAAAATGTCATTCCGTAATATTTAGTTAATTGTTTGCTAAATCTATTTGCATTTATGACAATCGATGTGGCCACCAGGCAACACATGAGCTACCGTATTGTAAGCCCACTCCAGATCTAATTTCGTTGCACTTTAAAAAAAAAAAGAATGATGTTCACGAACAAAATGAAAGCGGCCTCGTTACCGGTACAGTATTACGCCACGCCTGCAATCATCACTAAACAAAAAAAACATGAGTTGCTTCAGCTGTACCAACGACTCAAATGACACAAAGCACATTCTGCTATTTGACAGCTCAAACTCAATTGCGTCTGAAACGATGAACCTGGGAATTTACGCTGTTGCTGCTTTATCCGCGATGATCGCCACGACAACCAACGCTCAGCAGCTCTGCTCGGATTCAGGCTGCGCGTATGTCTATTCGGAATCAAATTTGAAGACCAGTGAGTGCTGCCGAAAGCAAAGTATGAGCTTTAACGAGTGCTGCAGGGTCAGTTGCAACTTTGTCTCCCCGTGCTGAGGTTAATGCAAAAGACTTCGGTAAACGATCTTGCATCTCAACTCGTGGTGCTACTAATTAATGGCAGCCGGACTCTTTACCACATTAGCCCTTATCTCATTTCTTTGTCATAAAGATGATTTTGCCATTTTATTTTAGTTTTAACTCGTTAAACGGTTTGTCCTCTCAGCTACAGAAGGCCCTTTGGTCTTTGGAAAGGTTCAGGTGATTGAAATGTTTGGTGATCAATTGAGCTCCGTGCAAGGCGAAAAAGAGGCGACAGGATATTGTCCTGTGAACGTGCTGGCGGACACTACCGTAAAAATTTCAGAGCACGACAGCATCACGGAAATTTCAACTTTTTGTGAAGCTAAACAAATACTAAAGGATTGGGGGCGGGACTGGAGGTCTGGGGGTCGCTGTTCTCAGGTCATGTTGCGTTGTTATTGATGAATGATTGTTGAAGCTGCAAGTGCAGATCAGTAAGTACGAGAACTAGCTTTCTTGTAAATACAAAACTACCTAGATCGTCTACGACTTAAGTTGGTAATACTTGTGTTCCATTTTTAATCGATGGATAATTAATTCGAGATTGCAGTAACTGAACTGGAAACAGTGCTTGTATCAGCCGAGCTGTACCTACTGTGATACTGAATGCACCGGTATTGAAGCGCTGTACTAGAAATGTCTCTCGAATGTCGTGCAAATCTTATTTGAGGTCATGTAAGTACCGTGGCATTAACATAATGGGGGGGCTCATTCTTCGTCAGAGTAAGAGTAAAAATACTTATAATTGGAAGCGCTTATTTGAAGTGGTACTTTAATAAGAATCCCGAAGAATGTGCCCCCAATGGATAAACGCTACGGTACTTGCGATCTCAGATAACATTTGTTTGACGTTCAAGAGCCAAATGGAGTACAGTGCATCAATACCGGTACATTCGGTATCACAGTACAGTTTGGCGTATTGTGCAAGTATTTTAATTTAAATCAATTAATTTAATGTAAAAAAAGTACTCAGTATGCTTGGATAGTTAGCTTACAGTAGGTTAGGCAAATGTAGTCATGCGATAATGGGAGTTTTATTCTACAACAGTTACTGAACGCGAGACTTAGTTCGTCTATGAAAGCGCAAGACCAACGAGAGCGAGTAGCACTGGTTTTTGTCAGTAGAAATAATCAATCAAAAGTCGGAAGATGAACACGGACGAAGAAAACATCCCAGTATCAGGAGAAAAACGCAGAGTTTAACACCCGGACGTCTGGTAGTTCAGTGATAGGCGAGTGCAGAAACGGTAGCAATTTTAGAGAAATCTGAATGTCAAAAATTTGAAACTGTCCAACTGCGTACATATTTCGAAGGTTTTTCCATCCGGTCAGTTTTATGGCTGTGACGGGGTCACACAGCACCTTGCGCTAGAGGAAGTTATCTTCCGAGAGTATACAAACTCTCAGTGAACGGCAGTTCACAGGTCCCCTCCTTATTTAAAGAGAGCGAAGTGACCTAAATAAGGTAGATTGTAAACTGAGTATATTTATAGGTAGGTTAAGTTTGTGGTTAATACAAACTATCAGTTACCTATAGAAATGCAATGTCATTTAACCAATGGTTGGTTTTGAATGACCTTGGTACCTTGTACCAAATATCCCGGAGTATGACATGTCATACTCCTGAAGTGTGAAGTGTCACACTTCATGTAACCAGGGTACACTTAGTGCTACGTACCCCGTTACATCCTCCCCCACTTAGGTTCGGTTTACCGACCAATCAGAATGAAGAGATGTTCGTCACAAACTCTCATTCTCAAAGTCGAAAACCATCGACTCGGCCGCGCGAGCGCGGCGGAGGCTCACTTTACAGTTAGAGCCTCGAGCAGCAACCTGTGCGCTCTTCGTCAAGGTCTCCATTTCGACCGTTAACATGCCTCGTGGCACTGCTAAGAGCGGTGCTAAGACACACTCCAAGGCTGCAGCCGGTAAGGCGCAGGCCAAGAGCACTAAGCCTCACGGCAAAGGCTCTGCACTCAAGGAGGCTACTCAGGTGGCCTCCGAGGCGATCGGATCCTCGGGTGACGCGGCTGCGGACAAGCGCGCAAGCAGGCGCCGCAGTCCGTCGCCCTCGTCTTCAGACAATCGTCCGAACCCTCGGTTCGTAGAACATGAGTTCAACTCGGGCAGTGAGGACGATGCCGAGTTCGAGAGCACTCATGATG